AGCAGCACGATTGACCTGGACACAACCAACATCTCACAGGTTGAGGTTAATAGTATACCACCTTGGTCAACTCCAACGATAGATGTTGATATAAGCTTAAAGCAATTTCTTAAGGAATCCACCCCAGACTACGTTTACAGACAGCACTTCGCAGAAATTCAGCATCGTGACAGGAATCTAATTCCAATATATACTGATGGATCTAAATCTGATAACTATGTAGGGTTAGCCTTTGTTTGCCAAAATGAAATTGTGGCAGAACAAATAGCACCAAATTCTTCCATCTTTTCTGCGGAGTTGCAGGCTATTTATTCAGCCCTAAAGTATATAAATAGGAAAGGTCATCGTTGCTGCGTGATTTACACTGACTCAGTTAGTGCACTTCAGGCTTTGATCTCGTATGAACCTAGTTCTCACTCCATAGTTATTAAAATTCAGAAACTAATTTGTCATCTCCTTGCAAGGGATTTCTCTATAAAATTTTGTTGGGTCCCAGGCCACGTAGGAATAAGAGGAAATGAAGAAGCTGATGCAGCTGCTAAGTCAGCAAGTCCTTCTCAGCATACAATGCGTATTGAAGGAGGCGATTTGAAGCTAGTCGTTAAAAAACAACTAGCAGAGAGATGGCAAATTATGTGGAATGCACAAATCCACAATAAATTACACGAGATCAAACCGATGATAGAAAATTGGACACGTAATAAACAATATGACAGGAGATCTGAAGTTATTCTTAGTCGCTTGAGAATTGGGCATACTCGACTGACTCATCAATACCTTCTGAAGGGTGAAGAACAGCCAGTATGTGAGTATTGCAACTGCATTCTAAGTGTGAAACACATACTTTGCAACTGCACTGCTTTTGATGTAAGTCGTAGACAACATTTCGGAAATGCAAGTCTGAGAGAGATTTTGGGCCAGAGGCCAAATGTTGACAAACTATTGAACTTTCTGAAAGTTAATAATATTTATAAACATATTTAATTATTTACCTAGGTTATATTTATAGATATTTTGTTTACTATTTATTTATTTATTAATTTATATATATATGTTGTTATAATTTACATGTGTGTTGTTATATAATTTTGTTATTGGTTTTGTTATTTATTATATTATTTATTTATTTATATTTAATATTTCACATTATATATTTATTTATTTATCTGTATATATAATTACACCATTTGTCATGGCGCAGCTTGGCCTATATTGCCCTTGCGCCAATAAACTGTAAACAACCAACCAACCAACCTTCTTCATAGATTGAGGTCATTGACCTTTCCATGGTAACGGAAATAGAACACATAAATGTTGATTTAGCAAATTTAGTAGAATTGCGATATTTCAAAAGTTATCAAAGTTATCGACACGAAATTCGGTACATAGGTAAAGTTTTATCTATTGAAAGAAACACCCAAATATGGTTGAAAAATATTCAACCGCAAAGCCATACCAAAACGCCAAAGTTCAACTGGAAGTAGGCCGTAACTCCCAAAATATTAATCGGAGAAATATGAAATTTAAGTGGTGTACTCACAGTTTGAGTGCGAACACATATCCGTCAAGCTATCCGGTTGATCGGTCCCCGTTTTCCGGATGCATGATCACTTTAATTCAAAAATATTCAAATTGTTGTAATTCCTCACCAAATCATCCGATCTCAACAAAAGTGACACCGTTGCGATCCTGGTACCTTCCAATTTCCAAAAATATATAACTTTATATACTTCCGATAGTTTATTCACGCAAAAACACAATTTTAAAACAGAAATTTCCAAACTTTTTATTTTAAAACCAAAATTAAATCAAAATTTTAAAACCGAAATTTCCAACTGCTGATGCTTTGCTGGTTAGCGCACGCTCCCAGTAGATAGGGACAGATTCAGATTTATTATTATTTAGGTACCAATATTAGTACATGCCCTGGTCTCGCAAGAGCATCACCAGGGCAAGGAATACAGGAGTAGAAATACAATGAAACAAGTAAATACAAGAGATAATAAAAGAAAACATAAAATCAAAGTGAGAGTGAACTAAAAACATCGCAACTCGCGAGTTGTTATCCATCGGACATGTCAATAATTACGCGTGAAGAAACATTTTAGAAATCAGAGAACACGAGCAGTCTACATTAGTTAAGGTGTCACAAGTTCTAGATATAATGATAGCTCTATGTTTTAGAAAGACTGGGCAGTTCTTGTCCATGGCATTATGTTCATGTGAGTCCCTGTGTTCTTCAATGCAGTTTGCACATTGTGGTGTCTACTCTTTTTTACTGCATTCTCTAAAGTGGTGGTTTCCCCCACAGTGGCTGCAAACAGAATGTTCAAAAGTTTACTTGTTCGCGAAATGTCCAAATTTAAGACACTTGTAGCTTTGATTCGATGAATAAAGTTATAGATCGTGCATCTACACCATTCAATGAAGACTTTAGCTGTTCTCATAAGTATTTCTCTTACCTTTGGAGATACTATAGACACCCAGGATCGAAGTTCCGGATCCTTTTGTTTTATATCAAATCGTATTTCAATTTCTTTTTCAAATTGCTCCTGTTTAAAATTTTTAAATATCTCTAAGTTTTGCTCAAATAAACAATGAAGAATATTTTCACGCTTTATTGCAGCTGGGATATTTACAATTTTAATTAAAAGGCGCCTGCGAATTCCAATTTTTGCATTCAGTTCTGGGATATTTTTCATCCTATGCTGAAGGCATTCTAAATCTTCATCACTCGCTAGATTAATAGCTAAGCCTCCTTTGTTAATTCTCCTTATACTTTTAATTCCTATGCCAATATCAGAGGCAGTAACACTTTTATAAAGGATTTCTTTCGTTTTCTCAGAATTATCATTGTTTTCACTAAAAACAAGTAATGTGTGTTTACTCTCTCTAGGTTTGTCAACTTGTTTAATTGGGAGGCTTCTTTTTAAAATATCACTGTAACTAGTAGCAGGGGCATTGTTCGCTTTATTCGAGTTTTCAATAAATATTCTCTCAGTTTGTTTTTTAAGGCTATCAATTTTAGCAGAGTAGTTATCTTCCTGTGTTTTAAAAATCTCCATTAGGTCCTCTTTTCTGGCTACGCTGTTCAATTTTTCCTCCAGAACATCTGTTAAGCATACTTTATTTAATTTCTCAATGACCATTTTAATAACTTCAGAAAATTGATTTGATATAAATCTAACGGTGTCTTTAGCCTTTAACTTACAGTTATAATTTTTAGAACAGTAACTCTTTATTTTTTCCAATAACTTATTGGATTGACTCTCAAAATCTTCAATCAAACTCGTTGACATTTTAAAAAACTATAAATAAACAAATCTGAAATGCCAGCCGAAAATCACTTCCTATTACGTAGGAGTCTGGCACCTACCAGTCTGCCAGTAAAGCCATTAACAGCCGTTGAGATAACAGAGAGGTCAATGACCCGAACGTTCAGTGAGAATAAAACCTTCAATTTAAAACTGCTTTATCTTAAAAACTACGGCAGATACAAAATCAATTTATTACAGAAAATGTCCGAGATATTCCTCTGTCCAAATATTGTCGGTATTATTATCGTATGACAAAAACCAGGCCCGATGCGGGCCCTTGATGTCTGAAGGAAAAACCTCAATATCTAGATAACTAACGGGTCAAAACTAACAAAATTCGGGTGGTTTACTCACCACAGCCATGTGTGTCCATCGGCGTCAACAGTTCCGGAAAATCAATCCAAAAATCGTGAGTTTGAATATATCTATATCTCAGGAAAAAATGGGTCCTTGTTCAGAATTTTAACATCCTTTGGGTCCTCATTAATAGCTGAGTCAAGTAATCTACAAAAAGCAGCACAAAAATCCCTTTAGTACATCAAAATTTCGAAATATTCAGGAGCTAGGTTTTCTCACAGTATCCAGTAAGCTGGACTAGTCCACTCTAGTAGTAGATAGGGACAAGCGTCCCGTAATGTCCCACAATTATACTGCTGCGCCTGTCTGTATGACTTCTCGGCAGTGTAGACCCAAAATAACATACATAATCCCAATAACACACCATATATAACTAAAAATATAAGATGAACTAGACTTAAAAATCAAGACCCAACCTATCTTCTAAGACGTATCTGTATCCGCTCTAAAAGCATAAGCCTTAAAACGTTAAAAACCTGAAAATAAATATTTTTATTAGAAACAAAACTGCGTATATAATTAACGCTGTTAAAATCAGACTTCAAATAAATACATCGCGATCGCACTTCTGCCAGAAGTGGGCACCCAAATATAAAATGATGTAAAGAGTCGTTAAGACCGCACTCACACATAGAAGAATCAACCAGATTAAAACTAAACAATTTTTTGCGAAAATCCTTGTGCCCGGTTAAAATTTGACTAATATAAAAATCCGGTGTAACCCACTGTGTCCTTATTATAGACATAATCGATGGAAAGTAAACAAAGGTCTTCCTACTTTTATCCGATGTTACCCAACAGTCATTCCAAATTTTTATTAATTCATTTCTAATCTGTCTTCGTATCTGGGAATCAGTCAGTGACAAATATTTTGCGGGTACACAAAAGTCCGTACCACAAAGGCTTCCTTTATCCGTAACAAATACCTATGTGAGCCCGAGGGATTTGAGTTCGAAAATTTTTAGGGTTAACATATTTTTTCATTAGAGGATGGAAAAAAATATAACAGAAATAGATCGGATGTGAAATCTTACACATCGTCCGTTTGTCAATTAGTCAACGTGCACGTGCTAATTAGTCAGCATAACGAGTGAACGACCTGTTGGCTCAGTGCCAACGACGATCGTATAAAAATGATCGTCATGGGAAGTTCAGGGCGATCGTCCCCTCAGTGCGATCGTCCCTCCACGCGATCCTCAGGAAAGTCTGAATACAGTGTCTCCCGTCCCGATCCTGTCCGAGGAGAAGCCGGTAGAAGACATAAGCCTGCGACAGACAGCCATAGTTCAGAAGGATCGTCGCATACCGTCTTCCGACATAAGGTATAAATGACCGCCACTATAACTCTCTTTGTAAACTCTCACACGGCATAGTGAATAGTTACCGCTCCCTTTTAGATAAATTTATGTTATCCGCATCTAAGCTATAATCAGTAACTCGTATAATCCTGTAAATTACTTTAGCTATAGAATAAACATTTATTTTGTTATTTGTTAAACCTGTCTCCTGTCTGTCCGAGGAAACCTGTCGACTTACCGACACACTCCCCACTCAATTTGCCCTCCTAGCCATCCTACGACTCCGAGATCGGGCTTTACCAGCCTGTGCAGATTAAGTGGTCAGTACGAGATTGGCCCCTGACCCACTGCGTATCTCACACCTATAATACATATAAGACACCTCCAAATCCAGTGAAAGTTCATTAAACAGTACATGCAAAGCCGCGGAAGAGATTCAGATTCATTTTATTAATAAAATACTGAGTTACAGTACATACCTGGTGCCATATACATATAACCAGGTGCAGACAAGAACATATTGGCATTATTACAGATCATTAACATTAGAGGCTACAGTAACATTACATGTGTAGTATATACAAAAGATGGGGATAAAATAACAAGTTGTGTGATACAGAAAACATATGCATTGAAATATTATACAGCAGAGAATCACAAAATACAGAATGTAAATAACAAAATACAATACATTATAGAATAATAATGCAGACAAAGTATAACACAATATTTCAGTAGAAACATGATACAATAGCAATTAACTAAATTTACAATAACTTATTTGAGAAAATTAAAATACATAAACAATAATATAAAATTCAGTAAGCAAAACATATAATACGTTAAGAAATTTAAAAAAAAAAAGAAAACAGTGTGTTACAAAGTAATAGTACCTGTAGCAATAAAAATAAGACAATACAACACCGTTAATGAGATAATGAGAAAGGTTATTTGTATCCAGGAACGGTGGTGCGATAAAAGTATGCACTGATGAGCCTTGTGAGGGCCTCATAGGCGTCTTTATTGTCCAGGATACCGTGGGATTCATTGGGCCAGCGGTATCCGTGCGCCTCCATAGAGGACCTCAGAAAGTGCCTTTCGTGATCCAACATAGGACAGTTGAAGATATAATGATCCGAGCTGTCGTCCACACCACAAAGAGGACAATCAGAGTTTGCAGCTCCGATAAATCTGGCCAGGTAAGACTGGAACCTGCCATGATTTGTTAAAAATTGAGACATACGATGACATGGTTTGTACCAATTGTTTGAGAGAAATAGTTCAATATTGGGAATAAATTTGTGAGTAATTGGATGGTTAAGCGTGTTCCAATCATGTTGCCACTGCTGAAGTAGGTCTTTCCAAAGCATATTCTTGATAGTTTTAATGGTAGGGCTATTATAGCAGATCCGGAGATTGTCGTCTTCACTGGCAGTCTTTGCAAGTATGTCGGCCCTCTCATTACCAAGTGTGCCCTGATGGGCACGAGTCCAGCTGACGTGATAGATATTATTGGAATTGTTAATGATGTCGTGGATACTAGCTGAGATAGGGTGAGAAGCTTGACTATTGAGCAAGGCTATAGAGGATTGACTGTCTGAGATGATGGACACTTTAGTATTGGTATAATTTGAGTCAGACCAGGCAATGGCCATTTTGATTGCATACATTTCAGCCTGAAAGGCTGTGCAGCCGGCACCAAGCTTGAACTGCCCTGAGGCAGTCTCCACATTGTCCCGGTAGACCACATAGCTACTGCCCACATTAGAATTGGTCTTAGATCCATCTGTAAAGATTTGAATATCAGCATCATCAGGTCGCGAGAAGTTTAGTTTCTTAAGAGAAGCAGGGTGTTTAGTATCAGCGAATTGGACTGGTCGTTCTAACTCTTGACGATGTATTTGTTGATTATTGACATGGATGGTGTTGCCCCACTTTAACTGCCAGATTTTCTCTTGTAGTCGGATGTAACTGTCAATAGGTGCCTTCCTCGCAAGGATTTGAAGAGAAGGGTTTGGGGTTGTGGAGTAAGCTTTGGTAATATGCATTAAGGCAGTTCTTTGTGCAGCAATAAGTTTGCGCTTGATGTGCACCTTGCGAACAGCCCACCCCCAGCTGCCGCAGGCGTATGTGATGATTGGGACAAAGATCTGGTTGTATATGGTATCCATGGCTTCCGAGTTCAATCCCCAACGTTGCCTTGCAATGACAGCAAAAGTATGAAAAATCCTGCCAGTCCGTGCGGTGATATACTCAGTATGGGCGTTCCAGAGCAGCCTGTGATCCAGAACCACAC